GTGGATTCAGTATAGTGCTGGTTGCATACAAATGCAAGTTTTGCTTTTAAGAACCTTCTGGAATTTTTTAAAATTATTGTTTGATTCACGGTTGGTTTAGCAAGTGAAGAAACTGCAGATATAGATGTCTGACTGTACATATGTATAAGTAGTCATACACACACACACACACACACACACCTATGTAGATGGAGAAAGAAATTTGTTTTAAGGACTTGGTTCATGTGACTCGTGTAGCAGTTAAGTCCAAAAGCAGGCCAGAAGTAGAACTCCTTCTACTGCAGGGGTCCTCAGTCTTTTATCTCAAGATCTTTCACTGATTGCATGAGGCCCACCCACACTCTACAGGGCAACCTACTCAAAGTCTGATTTAAATGTTAATCTCATCTTAAAAAAATAATCTCACAGTAACATCTAGTTTACTGTTTGAGCAAATATCTGGGTACCATAGCCTGACCAAGTTGACACAAAAAATTAACTTGGGCTGCAATCTGAAAGCCTTACCCTTGTAGACCACTAGAGGGCTGTCTTCAACAGAGGTACACCCAAGTCTCCACCTCTATGCAGGGTGGCATGGCTGTTTTAGGTGAGAAAAATTAAGTCTTAGAAAAAAGGTTCACAGAGTTGGTCCTAACAAGCCAGCGGTGAGTCTGAGTGAAATTGGCCTCACCATGTGGCAGTCCCTAGCTCCTTCCTCCATGACTGCTGGTTCCCCAGGGGCCTCAACTCGAGCCTCATAAGGATATACTCATTTCATTTTTTATTTGGAACATGCTATGATTTGAACATATCCCCCAAATTCATGTGCTGGAAACTTGGTTCACAAGGCAGCAGTATTGAGAGGTAGAACCTTTGGAAGGTGAGTGGGTCATTAGAGCCCTGTACTCATGAATGGATTGATCCACTCATGGGTTAATGGCTTATTGAGGGAGTGGCTTTGTTAACAAGAGTTCTCAGTCTGGGAATATAGGAGAGGCACAGCATGTGCTTAGCAGGCACAAGGCCCTGGGTTCAACTTTAGCACCAGAAATAAAAAACCTCTCAAACTGAGCTCTCTGGCCCACTTGCCTTGTCCCACAATGGGATGCCCCCTGCCATGCAATGATGCAACAAGAAGATCCTCACCAGATGCTGAGCAGATGCTGGTTCCATGTTCTTAGACTTCTTGTTCTCCAAAATTATGAGCTAAACAAACCCTCTATTCTTTATAAGTTACATCATCCAAGGTATTTTGTTATAGCAACAGAAAATGGACTAAGAACATTACAGCCAGATCTGGGCCTGTTCAAACCATAAACTCTGGGGGAAGAAAATGAACTTACCTCTCAGGGGGCCTTCCCACTCCTGTCTCTGACCTTATCACTACTCTCTCCCAGCACAGAACTCTCCTTCCAACAGATATACACAGAACCACCCACAGACAGATTTCTCTTTAAAAAGTGCTTTATTTCAATAAGAGCTAAATCAGGTGCATTAAAACATATTAAAAGGTTACAAAAAATGTTCGGCTCCCTACTGAGGCCTTGTCAAATTATGTTAAGATGCCTAAATGCATCTATTTATCAGTTCAGAATCAAACATTGAACCAGGCTAGGTACCATGACTGGAAGGCAAGTTAGGAAAAGAATACTTCACAAAACTCAAACAAGAGGGGGAACCCTTAAGAAACACTAGTAACTACACATCAGAAACCATCAGCCCGGAAACAGGTCTGTGATCTGCCAGGAAGACCCCAAAGGGAAGCTGAGGCTTTTCTTCACAGCTTGTGCTTCTCTGTGCTTAGTTAAAAGGTGGGGACAGGCAGAGGGGCACTTTAACATCCTGTGACGGAGTAAACACTTCTAGTTAGGTCTGAAAGAAGGGGTGCCCCATTCCTTTCTATGTTTACATTTAGGAGATCATATCTTATCTGACTTGAGCAAGGCTTTGTGTAAAACAATTTAAGTAGACACTCAAAAATGCAGGCATGCTGTTGTATAAGAGAGACTCCAGGCAATCTCTCTATCTTACTCTCAATGTCATGGTTTGGACACTTGAGACACTGCAAGTCCCTTGTCCACACAGAAACTTCTATCTTAGAGACATCATCTCGGATATCAAGTTCTCTGTGTTACAGAGCTTTTAAATAAAATGTGGCTTTAGGCTGGTTTTTGACATTTTGAAAAAGAGCTTTTCAGCTAGGTGCAGTGGTGCACACCTGTAAAGCCAACAGCTCGGGATGCTGAGGCAGGAGGATTGAGAGTTCAAAGCCAGCCTCAGCAAAAACAAGGTGCTAAGCAATTCAGTGAGACATTGTATCAAAATAAAATACCAAAAGGGGCTAGGGATATGGCTCAATGGCCAAGTGCCCCTGAGTTCAATCCCTGGTACAAAAAATAAGAAAGCTTTTCTTTTCTTAAGAGTTTCTTGATTTTTTTTGGTTGCATTAGTCTCCTGACACTGCAATAGTCTCCCAACTCCATAGGAAGCAATTCTCACCAAGATGTTTTTGCATGGAGAACAGATTTTGGAGGGTTATCATTTGCCATGGATATGCTGATAAAATGTCTTTATGTGGAAGTTTTGAGAAGAGCATTGCTTTCCTTTTGGTAAGGAGGAGGATGCAAATATTTCCCCTTTGAAGCATCTGACGCTTCTGTACCAGCTTGTCTTCAAGGAAACAGTGACCTCCAGCCTCCACGCTTGTCTCAGGAATGGGTGGCTAATCTCCTGAGACCCTCTTACCTTAACCTCAAAGTTGAAATCCATCCAGCCCAAAGACCAGGGCGCACACGCCTCCCTGACTCGCACAGGCCTGTCATTTGTGCTTTTCAGCCCCTTCCCAAATAACACCTGTCCATTTAATTTTCCCACTAATATGATCACTGAGAATGTGACCTTGTGCTTAATTCCACCAGCCCAGTCAGACAGATTCAGGTTTTTTTCTTCACTTGATCACCTTGTAACATAAGCCTCTGCCAAAAAAAAAAAAAAAAAAAAAGCCAGATGCAGCTAAACTGCTTTTCACAAGTTGGGGGGAAAAAATAACCCTATACATTGGCCTTTTGTTCTTCACACAATTTCAGGTTCATTGCACACAATTACATAAACCCACACAAATAGATTGAGGAGTTCAAAGCAGCAAGGCCATGTGATACCAGTGAGAAAATCCGGTCCACACTGTGCTGAGGCTGCTATTTCAAAGGTTTCTACAATTCTGTTTTTGTTTGGGTTCTTTTTTGTTTGTTTGTTTTGGGTGCTGGCTGAACCCAGGGATTCATTCATGCTAAGTATGGGCCCTAGGTTGAGCTACACTCCTGGTCAAGTTTCCAAAATTCTTGATCAGGTTAAGTGAGAAATGATCTCTACAGGATGAGCCAAAATAGAAAAGTGTGTTAGTGGAAGTGGATGATGTAGGATGTACTTTTCCCCCACTTCTATTCCAAAACCCCATCTTTAAAATGCTTGGTATCACGTTCTTGGCAAGTGTCCTGTCAAATTAGCATTTTGCAACATTTCCATATTTAACACAATCATCATCGCGGTGCTAGTACAAATTACAAAGAACTTTTATGAACCAGAAATAGCTGTCCAATAAGAATTAGTGGTTAGTAATTAGCTTTGTGGAAATTCTCCCCCACCCCCCAGTTCCCAAAGGAGAATTATTGGGGCAACGAAAGGCTTTGAACATTCGTGATAAAAAATAACTGGGAGAGAAATTCTCCAAATCCCTTTCTCAAATGCAAACCTCTCTGTTTGCATTCACAAAACTGATCTTTTGAATCTGTAACAAAGGAAACTTCTCCCCACTGCCACACACAACCCCTCCCCGCTTCCCCCCCAATTCTGTGCACTTTGCAGAAATGTATGATTGAGCCTAAGCCCCTCTGGGTTTCTACCACATGCCCCAGGGGTCTGGTGGTGCTGGCCCTGCAGCGGAAATAAGCTTGCTAAGAGATCCCCCACCACCACCTGCAAAGCGCCTCTGGCAGCGTGCCATCTTTTTGGAAGTCCACAGTAAGACCACAGCTATGAGCCTTTTAAATAGGCCACAGAGAAGGCCTGGAGTGCAGATGGGGGATGGGAGGGTGCCTAGGGCAACAACAGCTCTGCCACAGAGGCCCACCTTCCGTGGGAGGCACCAGCCATGGCTCTCCTTCCCCAAACCTGTCCTTGGAGAGGAGGTAGAAAAGAGATGGGCGCGCCCCTTCCCTCATGAGCCGAGGTGCCTCTGTTAGAAGTTCCAGATCTTGCTTGCTTGATCTCCATAGCCCAACACCTGGCTCCAAACATCTGTCTCTCCCTCCAGATAAACAGTATTAGCCACACAGGTGCCCAGATGCCTGGCAGTCTTCCTCGTTGGAGTCACAGGGGACACACTGCCCCTGCTCTTTCCCCCCAGGGAGGTTGGCTCTAAAGATCCGCACAGTGGCTGCTGAGAAGCTGAAAGAGAAGCTCTGTCCTCTCTAGGCACCCTCACCAGGCAGCTTCCCTGAGACCACGTTCAGTGGGCAGCAGGACACGTCCTTACTCTGGGGTTCCATCTCCACATCCAAGGTGAGGGAACTTGCCAAGAATCCAGAGGTTGGGAAGAGTAAGGTCTTGACCATGAACACACACAGCCTGGCTCCAAGTTCAGAAAGACTTGTTGATGTGAAGATGGGTGGGGCGCAAAGGCACCTGTCATTTCTGCAGGTGACCTCTACCCTTCTCTTGAGACTTAAGGATGGAGCTTGGAAACTTCCTGGCCACCATCCCCAAACAAGCCCTGGGCATACCCACTAGGCATTGCCATGTGCCCGCCAGACAGACCACTGATTCAAGAGACTTTCCTTCAGCACAAGGAAGCATCGGAGAAATGAGCTGGCAGCTTGGAAAGCAGAGATACACAGGTGGCCACAGAGGTGGCACGGAGGAAGGATCCATTCTTTCCGGGCATCCACACAGCATCGCACATTCATCTTTGTTATTTAAAACAATCAAAATTTCCAGTGTAAAAACTCACGAACACTCATTGCATCTACCCCATGTGAAGGTTTATCTTTTTCTTTCCATCAGACTTGCCCCAAAGGTATGAAGCTGTTGTTTTATTAATTTCCAAGGATCTCTTCCACAGATCCTTCTAGGCAAACACGGAGAATCTCTACTAACATATAAACCCCCCAAATGGTGAGCTCGAGGGACTCTTCCTCTGTCAGAGACAGGCAGATATGAGTGGCTTCCCCCTGGCACCAGAGGGGAGAAATCACTTCTTTAGCTGAAAGCCCTTGGGATAGGGACTCCCCTGACTTTCCTGCCCATCAACAGCTCATCTGCCAGCCTCATGGCACTTGTGCTGGTGGCTTGGAATTTAATTGCATGTGAAAATATCAGGGAGACCCATGGACATGTATCCTATGTGTGCGCACACACACACTTTGGGTCCTCCTTAGAACAGAAGTCTTGTGAGTGAAAGAGAAGAGAGCAGGGATCCAGGGATGGGGACTTGTCCTCTGACTTCTTCATCCTGCTCCAGGGAGCAAATAATGGCTGGTCAGGCACTGCAAAGATCTGCATTGCAACATTTCCATGGAAGGAAAGAACCCAGCTTCCTGTGGATCGTTTCAAGTCAACGGCAACCCCTGGGGTGTCTGGATCCCCTTGTTCTCATGGTTCAGATCGTTGCTGGGGTCTCGGCTATCTCCTCCAGCCTTTGCCGAATCATTAGCCGGAGCACGGTGTACCTAGGAGCAAGAAACAGCCTGTGGTAGGGGCCAGCCAGCAACACCACCCTCGGGTGATCTTCTCCACCACCCAGGTGACACTGTAGTCCTGTCCCTGTGCCCCCATCTTTGGCCCACTCTTTAGCCACTTCATTGCTAGGTTCATTTGCACATCAGAATGAGAAGAAATCAAGAGGTCAAACCCAATTTAGATTATGTTACTATGATTAGAACGTGTGGCTAAAGAAGGAGAGAAAGATGAAAACAACAACAACAATAATAATAATAAGCAGTCTATTAACTGAGAGCTTAGGATCCCCAAGGCACCATGCCTAGCACTTCAGATGCACGGTAGCTCGTTAGCCCTCATCTAGGCTGGAACATGAAACTGCCAATATTTAAGCCTTTTGTGGGGAGGGGCTACCAAAACAGCAACTTCCTATATTCAACCTGCCCCCTGTACCTGCATTTTGTAGTCGAGGCAATAGCAACTAGTACATAGGGATGTCCACGGCTTGTGGGTGAGTCCAGTTTCCCCACGACGCCCCTGAATGATGGCACTGCAGATACCGGGTGCTGGGCGAAATGGGACACACTCCTCATGTTTGGAGTTTTGCACAACACTGCTATTTTTAAAGTCTAGGGCAGAGTAAGTGTTCAGCCAAATGTAAATGCTGTCATCAGTTACAGCAAATATAGCTTTGGCTTTATTTTCTGGTAGCAAAAAAATCAATCAATTGTTCCACTGTGGCTATGAAGTGCAGTCGATTCTGTGACTAACCTTGGCAAAGAAATCAGAAAATCCTTCCCAGAAAGCTTTCCTGGATTTTTTCAAGCCAAATGAAACTTCCAGAAGAGAAATGTTGGAAAGGGAGGAAGGGCGGAAAGAAAGTATTTTAGAGGTCAGGGGCTCAGACCACTTGCACTGCTAAGGTAACAGTCCAGGGGTTTCCAGAACCTCGGGTCTCAGCCAGCCCTGATTGTCCTCCCTCCTTCAGGTATGGAGGCAAACACTTGTCCCTGGGGACTGCATTGTCCCCAGAGATTACCCCAGACCCTGCCATGTGTTTGTAAATAGTTCCTTCACCAAATGCTCCTCAAGGACCCTTGTCTGAGTGGGCATCCACTTGCTGCCGGGGGCCTGATCACACACTTGAGATAGCAGGAAGCTGTGGTCTGGGTAAGGTTTGAGTGTGTCTCCCAAGTGTTCATGTCGGAAGTTTGATCCTTACTGTGGTGACCTTGGGAGGTAGTGGGACCTTTAACAGGTAAAGCCTAATGAAATGCACTTAAGTTACTAGGGACACTGCCCTCTGAAGGGATTGATGTAGTTCTTAAAGGATCCCAGTTAGTTCTTGAAAGAGCTAGTTGTTACAAAGAGCAAGCTTGGCTCCTGAATCCCTGTCTGGCTTTCTGTCTTGTCATGTGATCCCTTCTGCACATGTTCCCACCATTGTCATGCCATCTACCATGAGACCCTCACCAGAGTCAAGCAGAAGCAGTGCAATGCTCTTGGACCTCAAAACTCGGAGCTAAACAAAACTCTTTTCTTTACAAATTAGCAAGTCTTGGGTATTTTGTTATAGTAATATGACATGGACTAACAGTAATACACAGGATAAACTGACCCCACAGAGATTTAAAAACATATATCTTTTTTTTGAAGTTCTTCCATAAAAGGAGAGGAAAGACGTTTTGATGCCCTTAAGTATATTGAGGCCTCTAAGTGTATTGGTGCACATTTAAGTTTCATGTTCCCATCTGAGATTTGGATTTGTCAACAGGTAGCCCCCTGAAGAAGGCCCATAAGCCCCAGTCTCCTGAAGAAATCTGGCGCAGTCTCTGTTTGGCACCTGGATAGAGGCCCCTGTCATTGAGGGTTCCTCCATAAAGAAAGCCAACCAGTACCCTGGTGACCACACTTACTTGCGCATCAGCTTCTTTACTTCACGATCTTCTTCCTCTTGGAGCTTCTGAATGAAGCTTTTAAGGACAGGCATCTCAAACTTTATGTACTGGGCCACCTGGGAAGGAAGAAGCAACATGGGGTGTGTGCCCTCCTGGCATGCATTACTCTCCTTCAGGGCAGAACCTTGAGAAATCTATTTGCCCCCTAATCCAGGATTTCCTGAAATCCCAGATGCAAGTCTTCTTCTAAGACTGGTTCAGAGTCACAAGGAAGATTGCTTCATTCACATGACACAGTCTCATTTTTCGTCTCTGTCTCTAGCCCATGATTTTGGTGATGTCCAGTTTCTCTTGATACAGTGATTACAGTGATATATTGAAGGAACTGAACTCAGAATAATTAATAAATCTCTTTGCTCTCCCCTTAAGAGAATCTGAGGACTCATCATGGTTCAGAAGAAGGATTTGTTTCTCAAGCCTCAAATCGGTATTCAAATGTGCACTTGGTTCAGAGAGGCTGGGAGAGGCTTGCTGGGATGTTGAAGTTAAGAAATGTCTTCCCCTCCCCATCAGAATCTCTGCCTACTATGTCAACTTTCCCCCACGGGAGAAGTTTATTTCTCCATCCAATTAATGTTGAGCTTGGTTTTGTGACTTCCTTTGGCCAATGGGATATGTACAAACAGGATATATGCTAAATCTGAGTGTAGGCTTCAAATACACCTACATGGTTTGGTCTGGTTTCTCATGCTCCAGCCATCACTCAGAAGGAACATATCCCAGAAACCCTTTGGTTTGGGTCTCTGAATGAAGCACACTGAGGACATGAACTCAGCCTACAACCTAAAGCAAAGCCATTGACACCAGTCAGCAAAATCATGAGCAAAATAAGTAAATGTTTGCTGTTATAAGATACTAAAATTTGGGGATATTTGTTATTATAGCAAAACCTGACTCATACATATGGTTAAAAACATTTCTTAACTTCTTTTACCTTAATACATAAGGTAAAAATACTTCTTGAAGTTCTTAAGAGGGTGTTTATAAAACCTCTCAAACCTCTTCCAATATCCTAGAAAGACTCATGAAATTTGTTTCTTCTGTGGAAATCACTTTCCGCCAGAGGATTCCTCCAACAATTCCCAAAGATCATACCTTCAACTGGCTTCATGAAAACCAGGTATTGGTAGGGTCCTCAACTGTATTCCAGAAGGAATTCCATGCTCCACCCCAACAAAATCCCCATCCTCTGAAGACAGACCACCCAACCAGGAGGGAACTCACATCATAGGTGACTTCCTCCACCTGGTCCTTCTCCATCAGGAACACTTTGGAGACCTGCTCACATGGGCCCTGGAGGATTCGGGCAATCAGTGGGTAATCAGTGGTCTTCAGCTTCTGCTTCTCTGGAACCACACACAACCAGGAACATCCTTGAATTCAGCTTGTAATACCTTTCTCACCATAAGTAGTGGTCAACACAGGGGTCCAAATGGACCAGGCAGTTTAGAAGATGTGGTCATACAAGTTAAGTGATTGATTTGTAAATGAATTATTCAGCAGGTGTTATTAAAAACAACATTCTCCCCTCAATAAGGCTCCCCTGCCTCAAACCCTTTAGAAGAAGCCACTTTGAAGAACTGGCTTTATCTGTCTCTCCAGAAAGTCCAGTTCTTTCTCTAGCAGGCAGTTAGAGTTTAGGGTTTGTTTACTGCCCAAATATGGTATTCTAATTCAGTGGTATTCTAATTCTCATCCAGCAAGCCCACCAACCCTGGAGGCCAACATTTGGAAGTTTCCAAAACCTAAACAACAACCAAATGAGCCAGAGGTATTTTTTTTTAACTTGCTATTTTGAGTTAATTAAAAGTTTTAAAGTACACTGTGTTCTTCAGACTCACCACCACTGGTGTGGACCACGTACAAAGCAAACTCCTCCGCTGAATTCTCTATCTGAATCAGGGGCAAAAGAGACTTGTTGAAAGCATGTACTTAAATATCCCAGCTTTGAGACATCCCATCTTCCGCAACACTAAAAAGCCAAATTTAGGCTCTTTTGAGGGGAGGCTGTTTATTCACAACTCTTAAAAGGAGATGGGGGGGGTAGGCAGATAACTTTATCAATAATAGATAATGCAGGGTTAGGGGTGGGGGTAGCTCAGTGATAGAGCAAATGCCTACCATACTGAAGCTCTGATTTCTATCCCCAGAATTTCAATTTCTAAAAAAAAGATAATATAGGTTGAGCCTCCTTTACCTAAAATGTTTAAGGCCCAAAGTATTTCAGATTTTGGAGTATTTGCATAAACTTGATCTTCAAAACACTGAAATCCAAAATGCTCTGAAGTCAGAAAGTTTTTGAGCATCATGTCAGTGTTCCAAAAGTGTCTAACTTTGGAGAAAGATTTCAGACTAGTGATGCTCAAGCAGTCATAGGTAACACTTATTGTAAAATGAAGTTCCACACACTACATTTATTTTCATTCATCTCGTGCTCCTGACAACCTCAATACACGTTACCCTCATCCTTCTTTTATGGATGAGGAAGCAGAAACCAAGGAGATGAAATCCCCTGTCCTACTCAGCCAGCTATCAGGTGATGGACGGGAATTCAAACCAGGGTCCTGCATTCTAGGCTACATTGGCTTCCACTAAAAACAAGTATACTAGGGCTGGAGTTGGAGCTCAGAGGCAGAGAGCTTGCCTAGCACGCAAGAGTCACTGGGTTTGATCCTTAGCACCACAAAAAAAATAAGCAAATAAAAAGGCATGCTAAGGCAGGCTGTCCACCTACAACTGTAGAAAATTTTTTTTAAAAAGAAAAAGTATGGGGCTGGGGATGTGGCTCAAGCAGTAGCGCGCTCGCCTGGCATGCGTGCGGCCCGGGTTCAATCCTCAGCACCACATACAAACAAAGATGTGTGTCCGCCGAAAACTAAAACATAAATATTAAAAAAATTAAAAAAAGAAAAAGTATACTAGCTGGGCAGAGTGGCATTCACCTGTAGTCCCAGCTACTTGAGAAGCTGAGGCAGAGGATCTTAAATCTAGAAGTTTGAGACCAGCCTGGGCAACACAGCAAGCCACCATTTGTTATGGTTTAGATATTAGGTGTTCCGGAAAAGCTCAAGAGTGAGACAATGCAACAAAGCTCAGGGTGAAAAGATTGGGTTAGAAGAGGTTTAACCTATCAGTGCACTAATCCCTGAGAGGGATTAACTTGGTGGTAACTGTAGGTGGTAGGGTGTGGCTGGAGGAGGTGGGTCCCTGGAGGCACATATTGTATCCTAGTTGAATAGAAGCCCCGCCCTTCTTCTCTTCCTCTGCTTCCAGGAGCATGTCCTAAACTGCTTTCCTCTGCCACACTCTTCCACCATGATGTTCTGCCTCACCTGGGGCCCCAAAGAGTGGAGTTGGCTGTCTATGGACGGAGACCTTTGAAGTCATGAGCACAAAATAAACTTTTCCTCCTCTAAAATTGTTCTTGTCAAGTCTTTGGTCACAGAGAGAAAAAGTTGACTAAAACACTACTTAAAAATAATTTAAAAAATAAAAATAAGAATACTTGGTCTCCAAGAGAATTATAAAGGGAATACAGAAAACAGAGTAACAGTACCTTAAAAGCACATATGCACTATTATTTGCATGTGTTCCAGAAGTTATCTATGCACTAAGCCCGAAACCAGAGGTCAGGCCCTGGGGTTGTTCCATGGCAGTCCATAAAAGTACATGAGGATTGATGCTTTTCAAACTCCAAATGGGCTGCGGAGGGCCCTGCAGGGCTGTTAAAGAGGCTCCCTGGCCTCACCCTCAGAGTTTCTGACTCGAAAGTTCTAAGATGGGGTCTAAGAATCTGCTTTTCTAACAAGCTTCTGGGTGATGCTAATGCTGTGGGCTTTGCCTTGATTAGCAAGGGTCTAAAAACCCAAATCCTCTGCCCAGCACCCCACAAGCCACACTCTCCAAAGCTTCCCCCACCACCCCTCCAGGGCCCTGAGGCACACAACCAGCAAAGGGAACTTGCCTTAAACTTGTTGAGCAGCAGCTTCAGGACCTGTGGGGTGGTCATGGTGCTGTTGATGCGGACGTTAGTGACGGAGCCATAGGCAGGTGTGAACACCGAGGTCTGTCAATAGAGGGGTCCAGCTCAGGGTGGGATCAGGGACAAAGACAGCATAAAAACCCAGGTAGGGACTAGCTTCAGTGACAATGGTCCTCAAAAGGTGCCCCCTGAGAACTCCCGGGCCAGCAGGGTGAGCATCAGACTTTGATGCAGACAAGCAGCCCCCAAGGTTTGACTAACTCAGTGTGGGCTCCCTGTGGGAGGCTCAGGGCTGACTCCCCAAAGGGCATGGTTGGGGAGGGGAAATTGGACTCTCTCCAAAGAAAACACTCACAAAGACCCTTTTGCTGGAACCACCATGAGGAGGCCTCTGGCCACTCTCCAGTCGTGCCCGTGCTATAAGAAGGCAGGATTTGAACCAAACAGGAAAGAAGGGGGTCAGCTGCCTGTGGAGAAGGTGCCGATCTGGGGCTCACAGCTCTGCTTCAGAAAGCCGTTAGCTCAGGGGAAAGTCAGACCATGCACCTGCCGCGGGGCTCGGGGTGCAGGAAGAGGGCACAGACACAGGTACCTCGGTGGGGGCAGTTCATGAGGGGTGTTTAGGAAGCCTTCAAGGCTACAGCAGGTGCTACTTTGTATAGCCCCGCTGAATGTACCCATAACCCTAGTGGGGACCCCTTGACCTGAGGCCCCTTATCCCTCATAGAGCCAGCAGATCCTACAGCCCAAAGACTGAACAGCAAACATGACTTCCTAGGTGTCCCACTAGGGACCGCAGAGCTATAGCCCCGAGGTGGCAGATGCCCAAGAAGGGGTGTTGCTCTCTGAAACTGTCCCCTTCACCTTCCCCCATCCATTCTACCTTGTGGTTGTAGAAATGGCCATTGATGGAGAAGCGGTGGCGTCTGATTCGCCGCTGGTCACTGGGGGTTCTCACATTGCCACGGCGACGTACCCCAACATCACTGCGTGTGCGCATCAACTGTGGGGTGTCCTCCTGCACAGGCTTCAGGCCCCTGGAGTCTGAAAGAAAAGGGGAAACAAGCTCTGGTTGAGTGTGGTAGCACACACCTATAATCCCAGTGAGTCAGGAGGCTGAGGGAGGAGGACCACAAGTTCAAGACCAGCCTTGGCAACTTAGCAAGGCCCTGAGCAATTTAATAAGACCTTGTCTCAAATTTTTAAAAAAGAGCTGGGGATGTAGTTTAGTGGCAGAGCACTCTGGGTTCAATCCCCAGTCATCACGGAAGGAAGGAAGGAAGGAAGGAAGGAAGGAAGGAAGGAAGGAAGGAAGGAAGAAAGGAAGGAAGGAAGGAATGGATGGGGAGGGAAGGGAGGGAGGCAAAGGTAGGGCTCTGTTTGCCTGGACCTGGGACGCAGCAACTTGTACATGATCCCTTTCTAGCCAACACTACAGCACTCATTCCCTCCCCCAAAATATATTTTACAAAATTTATATACTTCAATATATTTTTGTAAAATGTATTTTATAAAAACTATTTCTGACTGGAAGAGAAGCATAATACATGATTTACTAAGAAGTACTACAGTGACTGGCTCTATGAGGGATAAGGGGTCTCTACTCTGAAACCTCAGAACCAGACTCCTCAGGTTCAAATCCCAGCTCCTCCACAGACATCTGTCACTAGTCTTTCTGTGCCTCTGTTTTCTTGTCTCTACCATGGGACTAACAATAGCACCCATCTTAGGAGATTAGATCTAAATGAATGAATAGAAAAACTTAGAGCAGTGCCTGGCACAGAACAAGCATGTGAGGGCCTGCAAGATATTGCAAACTAATTCTGACATGTGTTACAACACGGATGAGCCTTGAGGACGTTATGCTGAGTGAAAATAGCCAGTTGCAAAAAGACAAGTGATGCATGATTGCCCTCCTAGGAGGTACCCAGAACAGTCAAAACCATAGGGGCACAATATGGAATGGTGGTTCCCAGTGGCTGGGGTGGGCAGGGAAATGGGGAGCTATTATTTAATGAGTACAGAATTTCAGAGGTTTTAATTTTATTTTTTGTGGTGCAGGGGATCAAACCCAGGGACTCATGCATGCTAGGTAAGAGCTCTACCACTGAGCTATACTCCCAAGAGTTTCAGTTTTATAAAAAAAAAAAAAAAAGAGTTTTGGGTTTTAGAGACAGATTTGAATGATCTAAGGATGATTTTTTTTTTAATTTTCTATTTGTTCTTTTTGGTTATACATGAAAGTTGAGTATATTTTGACATATCACACATCCAAGGAGTATAACTTCCCATTCTTGTGGTTGTACGTGATGTGGTGTTACACTGGTCGTGTATTCATATATGAACATAGGGAAGTTATGTCTGATTCATTCTACTGTCTATTCCCATTCCCATCCCCTTCCCTTCCCCCGACTCCCCCTTGTCCAAATGGGTGAAATTCTACTCCCCTGCCCCTCCCCGCCACACACACACCACCTATTGTGAGTCAGCATCCACATTTCAAGAGAACTTTCGGCCTTTGGTTTTTTGGGATTGACTTATTTCACTCAGCATGATAGTCTCCAGTTTCATCCATTTACTAGCAAATGCCATAATTTCATTCTTCTTTATGCCTGAGTTATATTCCTTTGTGTGTATATACCACATTTTCTTTATCCATTCATCTGTTGAAGGGCACCTAGTTTGGTTCTATAGCTTAGCTCTTATGAATTGAGCTGCTATAAACACTGATGTGGCTATGTCACTATAGTGTGCAGATCTTTAGTCTTCTGGATATATGCCGAAGAATTGGATAACTAGGTCAAATGGTGGTTCATTCCAAGTTTTCTGAGGAATCTCCATACTACTTTCCAGAATGCTTGCACCAATTTGCAGTCCTACCAGCAATGTATGAGTGTACCTTTTTCCCCACACAAGGATGATGGTTTTAAGGGAAGAAGAGTCCTGGAAATGCTTAGAAGTGATGGCTGAATAATTATAAATGTATTTAACACCACTGGACAGTATACTTCAAAATGTTAAGAATGAAAAGATAATAAGTATTTTATCACAATAAAAAATGTTAATAAGACACATAAATATATGGGGGTCCCCTGACATATTTCTACCTATGTATGTCTATAAATATTAAAAATTGACAATAATAGAATTGTAGGTTAAGCTCTTTTTATTAAAATATATTTAATTCATGTTTTCTGATTTGCAAACTGACAACATCTGTCAAAACTGTAAACACATATTTTCTCAGACCCAGTAATTCCACTTCAAGGAATTCTATAGACATGCTTAAAGATGAGTAAAATGGCCCATGTATAAGCTCATTGTCAGCAATCTGATTTTTCATAGCAAAGACTGACAATGACTTAAATGTCTCATTAATAGGAGTGACTAAATAAATTATCATTTTTCCATGGAATCCTGCAGAGCTGTGAAGAACAGAGATGTTCTTTATGGATCTATGTGGAATAATCCTAAGTTAAATGAAAAAAATATATATATATTGATAAAACCAGCAAAGTGCAAAAAGCTACCACTTATATAAAAAGGAAAAGATAAGAAATGACATCCAGCCAGGCATGGTGGTGCCTACTTGTAATCCTAGTGTCTCAGGAGGCCAAGGCAGGAGGATCCAGAGTTCAAAGCCAGCCTCAGCAAAAGTGAGGCACTAAACAATTCAGTAATACCTGTCTCTAAATAAAATACAAAATAAGGCTGGGGATGTGGCTCAGTGGTCGAGTGCCCCTGAGCTAATCCCCAGTACCCCCCGCACTAAAAAAGAAACGACATCCCAAAGATCTGTCAGTGTGTTTTTGTTTATATATGTATAACTGTCTGGAGAAGGATGTACTCAGGTTGTTTTTAGGGAGGATGCTCAGTGATGGAGGTGGGAGATTCATTTTTTTTTTCCTTTTAACACTTTTTGAATCTTGAACTATAAAAATTTCATATATCTACAAATAAAGCACAGTTTATAACAACTATCACCCAGTTGGCCCCTAACCGGATGTTCCTCCCCTGGCACGTGTACCTGTGGGGCTTGGCATCTGTTCACTCTCAGGAGACGCATCCACCTCTGAGATCTGAATGTTAGGCATGGTGAGGGGCTTCATAATGGTGCTGGGGGCAGAAAACAAACAAAAGGGAGACTGGGTTAATCCTGGTCAAGAGATCCCCCCATCCCACCCTCCCCAGTGAATGCTTTGCTTGTGCCGGGCTGGGTACCAACTCACACCAGCTGATGAAGGAGGCAGGTGGGCTGCCCTGAGCATCCCAGGAGACTGGCCCAGCCTGCAGGCTGAGCACTGATGGGGGAGGGGGAAGTTTAGGAACAAGAAGATGCTCTTTTCCAACATCTGCAGCAACACAAACACCTAATTCATCCAGCCCAGGAAGGAAAACTCCGAAGAACAAAACCCATGTGTTGCCTGCGCCGAGTTCCTAAGCACATGTGGGTTCTATGACTGATTTTTTGAAACCCTAATAATGGTCATTTGTTTCTGGGGCAGGATTCCAGTTCAGATTCGCTTCTGGTTTGTTGTTTTGTTTTGTTTTCCGGTGCTGGGGATCCAACCCAGGGGCTCACTCATGGCAGGCAAGCTCTCCACCACTGAGCCACATTCCCAGCCCCACCTTCCCTTCTGTTGGAGGAAACACTCAGAAACCGCTTCTGGCTTCTCAAAGGAGTAGAAAGTAACAGGTTGGCTGCTACAAGGATCAGGGCAGCTTTGGTAGGGGCACCAAGGACAGCATTCTTTGGGTTGCAAGGATGGAGGCCACAGTCAAGCTAGAGAGAGAGAGTCGCAGCAGGCAGTCTGAGCTGAACCCCGGTTTGCCGTGATAACTGGCAATTAATTCCTCAAAGCCAAAAAGGACAATGGAAGCAGTTCAGAGAAACACACCCAAAATCAACAGAGGATTTGGCCAGGAAGGAGAATCATATTTAACCAATTAAGGCCATCCCACTGTGAAAAGACTGTGAGCTCCCTGACCCAGTAGAGACAGGCCTTATGTTCCAAAGATGATAGTTCTAAGGGTATACAATTAATATTAAAAATCTGAAAGAATTTTCTATAATAATACAGCCTTCTGAGCCCCAGAATGGATCCATACAGCCAGAGCCTCTCAGGGAATAATGAACACTTGGCATCCGGAGTAGCCAGCCTCTCCTTGCTTCCTGATCCAAAGCCCTCTTTCTTGCTGAAGCAGAAACTGGCCTCAGCATCCTCCTTAACACAGTAGTCCAGGTATTCACTTCACTATAGCTGGCCACCCACCTGGTTACTCTCCATGTGCTTGTACGTTTCAGGGGCCAATCAAGACCAGCCTGATGCCCCAGGGAAGGGAGAAGAAACCAATACGCAGATTGAAGGACCCCTCAATGGCAGCCCCAGTCAAAGGCCCCACGGACAAATGGAATTTTTGTAATCATCTCATGTAGGGAACAGAATGCAACAGCGTGGGGGTCAGTATCGGGCAGTGGACAGGGTTTGACTCCTTGGAAATAAAATACAGAGTAAGCACTGAAGGCAAAGCCGTGTGAAACCAGCAAAGTTAAATGAAACCAAAGAACCCTGACCAGACATCCCAATGGGACGGGTAAGAACTTTCCTCCTTAGATTCTCTTGGAAAGAAACCAGATCACCTCCAGAGTCGGGCCATATTGTAGGTATCTCTGAATTGTAAAGATAGACTTTGGCCGTGGAGTTCAACAAAACGTTCCATGTGGCCAACAGAGAGGGCTTGGCTCTCATTTAAACTAGAAAAAAACATCACTGTGGTTTTGGCTCCAGGCCGGCAAAACTCCACCCAGGCTGTAGCCTGCAGACCGCCAGCATCAGCAAGTTTCAGGAGGGAAGGAGGCTAGTCACTTGATCCTGAAAACCAAAGTCCCAGAAAGACAGTAAAAAGGGCGCGGCTTCGTAGATGCATTTGGTTACTCATTTGGCCACATGAGGAGCAGAGTTTGGGGAGGAACAGGCGCAATCTTCACACCCCTTCCCATGGGGACCAGGGGAAGGGGACCACAACCCTGTTCCAGGTGTGCAGCAGACTCCCCGGTTGACCTCACTTGGCTGGTTCACACAGAGGTTGACATTCCTTTTATTTTTCCAGGTTCCCCGCAAGACTCAGAGAGCTTCAGTCTGAGAGTTCAAGTCCTAAATGTCCCTGGAGTGGGGACCATTCTATGAGGACGCCAACACATTGGCATCCTGTTAGAAATCTGCTGGATGTGCTGGCCACTAGCAACACACCCTGAGACTCCAGAATTTTCCACCAGGGAGGACACGCTGGCATGTCCCCTTCTGTGACTCAGCACCTCCCCTCCTCACCCTGACCTCACTCAGTGATTGTGGAGAGAGAATGGAGGCCCGGTTACACCAACCCAACCCAACCCTGTTCTCCTCAACACAAGCCCAACACTGGTGGCAGTGGAGGTAGTGGGAACAGGACTGACTGGAGCATGGCTGACTAGGCACACACCACCCAGACACTCCAGTCACCTCCCAGCCCCATCGCGCCTCACTCACCCTTGTGCCCCCAAGTTGCAGCCCGAGTGCCAGGAGGAAGAGGACGGAGGGGGGCGGATGCGTTCATTGTCGTCCTGCATCTGCAGGCGGATGGGCCGGCGTAGCCCCCAGGAGATATTCAGCAGCCCCTCCACAATGAACTCATCTTCTTCCTGCCCGCAAAGCAATCAGTCTGGTGAGCCCAGAAAAGCCCTCCAAAAGCCAGCACGGCACTGGGGGACAGAGACAGCATCCTTCATGTGTCCTATCTGCGTGCCCTGGATGGTATTCATAGGATGTGAATGGTGTTCACACATCTCAACTCCAAGACACACTCTGCCCTAAAGCTCCCTGACACCCTGAGGCTGACCTTACAGGACAGCACAAAAGTTGCTGTGAAGGAGCAGGGTAGGGGTAGGGGTAGCTCAGTGGCAGAGAGCCTGCCTAGCATGCATGAGGCCCTGGGCTCCACCCCAGCTCTGAAAAAAAAAAAACAGAACAAAACAAAAAACACGTTGCTGTGAAATTCTAAACAATGTGTGCAAATTAAAAAGAACTTTTTTGTTGTTGTTGTTAGTATAATAATAACTTTTAAGAAACCAGAATACATCTTTTAAAATAAATGAGACTAGCTGGGCTTGGTGGTACATGCCTATAATCCCAGTAGCTCAGGAGGTTGAGGCAAGAGGATCACAAGTTCAAGGCCAAGCTCAGCAATTTAGTGAGGCCCTAGGCAATTTAGCAGAGACCTTGTCTCAAAATAAAAAATAATAAGTGGCAGGGGATGTAGCTCAATGGTTGGGCACCCCTAAATTCAATCCCTGGTTCCAAAAAGTATAATAAAATGAGACCTAGCCTTTCTAACAGAAGCAAGAACTGGGTTCTTGAATTAGCTACTTATCCCTCCCCTACTACAGAAAGTGACATGTCCTTAGCTACAACATATGTCTAGCAATCCAACCCTCTGGATGAAGGATATTTAAAGCAGAATTTCCCCAAATTTATTCTACAGAACACCAGCTCCTTTAGCAGATGAACTGTTGCCTTAAAAGGATGTCAAGGGATCATGAGTTAGGAGAGGCTGTGTTAAGCAAATTTCTTAACAGAACTTCTTGGCACTTTGTAATAAGCTAATGTGCTTAATATTATGACTTCTAAAGGTAAATAAGTCCTGCAGGAATTCCAAGTTATGCTAAAAGGTTGCTTTCTTTGTGTTTTTGTTGTTGTTGTTTGTTTTTGTTTTTGTTTTTTGGTACCAGGGATGGAACTCAGGGGTGTCTAACCCCTGAGCTATATCCCCAGCCTTTTAAAATATTTTATTTAGAGGCAGTGTTTCGCTAAGTTACTTAGGGCCTTGCTAAATTGCTGAGGCTGGCTTTGAACTCATGATCCTCCTGCCTCAGCCTCATAGCTGCTGTGAGTACAGGATACACCACCACACCTGGCAAATGTGAAATTTCTAAGGACATCAGTATGTTCCATCTTGAAAAAGTAGATCATTTGTGACCATGAAAAACTTTAATCATGTAGTACTTTAAGAATTTCTTCTTTTTTTTTTTATATACTGAGGATTGACTTCAAGGGCATTTTACCACTGAGCTATATCCCCACCCCTTTTTATTCTTTATTTGATACAAAGTCTCACTAAGTTGCTTAAGTCCTCACTAAGTTGCTGAGGCTGGCCTTGAACTTGCAATCCTCCCACCTCAGCCTCCCAAGCCTCTAAGATTATAGATGTGCACCACGACACCCAGCTGTCTTTGAAGATGTATTCTGTAGGATATATCCTAGGAAAGCTGATAAAGGATCAAAATCTTGCTCATGGCCTAGCTACTAATTAATAGCAGCTTTGACAATGCCAAAAAGGGTCAGTTTTTTTTTTTCTCTCTAGTCTCAGAAAAACCCTTCTGAACCCATGTTTTTTGGGAAAGTGTCATGGGTGTCTGACCTAGATTATGGCCACATCTTCAGGATAAACCCCCTTGGGTGAAAATGGAACCTGCCAAGTGAGCAACTAACCAAAGCCAAGAGTCATGGTGGAGACTGGGGGGAATCAGGAAAGGAGTGGAACAACTTCAGAGCATTTTGGGATCTTGGGGAAAAGGGCTTCATGGCTGGGCACAGAGACACATGCCTGTAATTCCAGCAACCCAGGAGGCTGAGGGAAGAGGATCACAAGTTTGAGGCCAGCCTTAACAACTTAGTGAGGCCCTAGGAAACTTAGTGAGACCATCTCAAAATCAAAAATAAAAGGGGTTGGGGATGTAGCTCAGTGGTTCAGCACCCCTGGATTCAATCCCTGGTTCAAAGAGAGAGAGAGAGAGAGAGAGAGAGAGAGAAGACTTTATGTAAGCACAGTTGATTTATAAGGACTTCCAACTGGGCAGAGCTGGTATCATGACATTGAACTACTACAGGACAGAACTTAACCCTCAATAGGACTTTGCCTAAGTGGAGTGGCTTGAGGGACACAGGAAAAGGCCACGCTTCCCATATCCTACCCCCAACAGCCTGCCTGAGCGGCTGAAATTCCACCATCTGCTATCTGTTTCTATGGATTAAATCGCCATGGCTTGATAACCCAGGGTATTACACACTGCTTCTTATCAGTTAAGAACGCTCGAGTATAAATTACTCCACCAGCCGTCCTTATAACTCAACATCTATCTGATAGCAGGCTTTACAGAAACAGATACAGGATGGATAAGCTTAGCTTCCGGGTGGGGGCTGGGAAAAGTCAGAGGGAAAGCAAAGGGCATCCTGAGAAGGGCTGAGAAGATGGCCACAGGTGGAGGGGGGAGAGTGGGAGTCACCACCCAGATCTTATGTGATCTGCCCTGTCGCTGTAGCAACAGGACTTGGCCCTGAAGTGTAAACACAGAGGACAGGTAAGGTTCCGGGGAACCACCCAACAAGGGGATGCCTGCTTGGGAGCCATCTGAGAGGGTCACTTCATGAAAACCTCCCTCTGGAGATACCCCCCCTCTGAGGCTGTGCTACCCTGTCACACTCCCATAGGGATGTCTCCAGAGCAGAAAAGCTGAACCATTCTGGATCAAAACTGGGGGGGCCTCCTTCCAAACAACCCCAAGGACTCTTGCCAACATTGTGAGAGGCCACTCACTGGGGCAGGAGGGTGGGGACCCCTGGAGACCTCAGGCCCCTTAGACCCAGATCAAGTGGAGGCAAATACTGGGCCAGCCCACCAGGGCAGGAGCCTGCCAGGGCTTGCTCTTACCTCTCTGTGTCGCAGCTGCAAGTTCTGGCCTTCGTAGTACAGGTTGTAGGTCTTCAGATGCAGGAGAAGTTCATTCCTTAGGGGGAAAGTGACAACATTTTCAGCTGAAGCCTCTTATAATACAATAATTCTCACCTCTAACCTGGCCTCAGTTACCCCCTCAGTGTATGTTCACATGGACACACACACACACACACACATACACCACAGAGTTTCCAAGACCCTATGGCACCTTCCCCCAGCACCAAGGTCAAGACTTGACCGAATGTTAAGAAGCAACTCTAGAACCCCAAGACAGTCCTGCACTACCAAGGCTGGATCTCTGTCGACACTCCCCCAAACCCAAGCCAAATGAGCGGGCAGGTATGTCACAGATTCATGGAGACACCTTTCCAGAAGGCCACAGGCCCTCCAAAGCCCACAGACGGGATTTCCCCTGCCTCTCCACTCCTTCCCTCCCTGGTGCATGCTGTGAGTGAGGAGAGGAGAGTTCTCCACAGGCATTTGCAAAACTCAGAAAAACTCTGAGGCTTTTCAGAAGGTGAACAGGGACAGGTGTGGGACAGACCAACTCAGACGTGATTGACATGACCTCATTGTGGGTTTGAAAACTTACAAACGCCCACAAACAAGAGAGTGGATGAGCAAAGGAAGTCCCTGTCACACGGTGCATCATTACACAGTCACAAAGATATGAACGAACAACACAACATGAACGAATCTCACTGGGAAAGAAGACAGACTTGAAAAGAGAACATAATGTGCGATTCCATGGGCCAGGCACAATGGGATGTGCAAGGAATCCCAGCCTCAGTTCAAAATACAAGAAATAAAAAGGGCTGGGGATGTATCTCAGAGAGCAAGCATCCCTGGGTTCAATCCCCCATACCAATAAATAAATAAATAAAGCTTGAAATGGGTTTTAGGATTCAGAATTCAGAGGGTCACCTTGTGGATCAGTGAGAGGAAGTGGACAGGCTGGGGCTTCTAAACCCTGGCAATATCCTATTTTCTTTTTTTCTTTTTTTTTTTTTTTTTTTTTTTTTTTTTGTGTGTGTGTGTGTGTGTGTATGAGAGAGAGAGAGAGAGACTATGTGTGTGTATGTGTTGCTGAGGATTCAACCCAGGGCCTCATGCACACTACGCAAGAGCTCTACCATGGATCTACATCTTAGCCCTTTTTTATTTTTGTATTTTAAGACAAGGTCTCACTAAATTGCTGAGACCAGCCTTGAATTGGCAATCCTCCTGACTCAGCCACCCAAGCTACTAGGATTGCAGGCGGGCGCCACCACACCCAGCAATGTTCTATTTTTGATATGATTTTATCTAAAAGTGCTTGTTGTTGCACTCCATGAGGAATTGGGAAGGCAGGAGGTTGAGGAAGCCATTTGCTGTGTGTTTCTGCCTGTTCTCAGGCAAGAGGTGACAGAATCCAGTCCTTCTAAACCCAATCATCCAATGGAGAGATTTTTGGACCACAGCACAGGTTAAAACTCACTGGAAATTCCAAAAAAAATTCTGACATATTAAACCTAGATAAGGGAATAATTCTAATTCTAAGCAAGCTGAAATGAATGGTTAAAAAAAAAAAAAAAGTGGGGGCTGGAGTTGTAGCTCAGCGGTAGAGCGCTTGCCTTGTACACATGAGGCACTGCGTTCGATCCACAGCACCACATATAGATAAGCAAATAAAATAAAGGACCATCAACAAGTAAAAAAAATATTTTTAAAAAAAGTGATTCCAAATAACTTAAGACAAAACGTCTGGTACTTTTGAACACATAGATCTGAAACCCGGTCAGGAAAAGTCCCTGGAGAAATCCTTCAATAAAGAGATAAGAATGTTCTGGATCTCACACAACAGGCATCTGTGTATGGCCAAGTGTGTCTAAAACAATTTAGTCTCAGATAAACTCAAGTTGGCTTATTTAAGACGGAGAACATTCAGGCTAGGCCAAAAAAAAAAAAATCCTCAAATTTGTAGTAGGAAAAATTCAGTTTTGGCTTTTAGAAAGAGGGTAGGAGGGGAGCGAGAGGGAGAGAGAAAGAAAAGAAAAATCTGAGTGCAAGACACCTAGAGTACATAGAAAACAAGGAACCTGCCCCTTCTACTCAGAGGGTGTGCTAATTTTAGCCAGAAACGGAGCAACGCAGGAACATAGCACCCAAGCCAGGACTCCCTCAGGCAATATCACAGACAGAACAGTGAGTAGTTTCTTAGTGTGTTGGGGCTGCTATAACAAAATACTAGAGACGGGGTGGCTTATAAACAATAGGAGTTCATGTCTCACAGTTCTAGAGGGCAGAAAGTCCCAGATGAAGGTGCCAGCAGATTCAGAGTCTGGCGAGGGCCTGCCCCTCAGAGATAGTACCTTCTTCCTGTGTCCTCACAGGGTTGAAGGGCAAACAAGCTCTCTCAGGCCTTTTCTCTAAGGGCACTAATTCCATTCAGGAGATCTCCACTGTCACGATCTAGGCACCTTCGGAAGGTCTCACCTCTTCATACCACAGACTTAGGTTAGGATTCAACAAATGAATTTGAGGCCACAGCAAGCAGACACCATCCTCCTCCTCCTCCTGGAAGCCTTCCAGGACACCCCCACATGTCTGGCTCCCCCTTTACTTCCCTCCCAGGCTGGGCTTGGGGGATTTTTTTTTTTTTTTTTTTCAATCTAAAGCTGCAGACTTGCTGCTGTCCTCACAAGTCCAAGTCCAGCCGCTTGGCTGCCTTTCACACACCAGAGCCCTGGGCCTCTGAAGCACAGAGGAAGCCTCTCTGCCCGTGGCTTCGATCCACCCACAAGGTCCCCACACGGTACTGGCCCCTGGGCAAGCAGCACAGCAAAAATTCTTACTTGGAAATGTATTTATCTTGTCCACAGGGGACGAGGGACGTTTGGTGATTGTAGTCCATCCTTCCTTTCTCTTTTCATCCGAAGGGCAGGCCTGTGATGGAAAGGAGAAGGCCGAGGTTGAAGCTGGCTTTGGTCCTTGGGAAATTCATCAGAACCTAGGCTGCAGCTGGCAAGGGGAGGAAGACTCCGAATGAGACCATCCCCCAGGTCCACAGCCTGGGTGCCCAAAGCTGACCCAGGACTGCTGAGAGGCCATTCTGCTGGCAGCGGCTACTGAGAGGAAACACCCTCAGGAAAGATGACAACTTTGGGATACTCCAAGAACAAATGCCCCAGCCACAAAGAATGCTGATACCAAGCTGGTCCCAAGATGACCAACGAGCCTTGTCCCTGATGGGACCTTCATAACACAGCGCAGAGAGCCATCAGACAGGAACAGCCCAGATTCTCCTGAGGTATATAGAGCGCTGTGTTTGGATCTTAGATGTCCCCCAAGGGCCATGTGTTGAAAGCTTGGTCACCAACCTATGGCGCTGTAGGAGGTGAGACCTCGTGGAAGGAAGAGAGGTCACTGGGAGGTGCCATTAAAGGGACATTGGGAGCATAACCCCTCCCTCTCTCCCTCTCTGCTTCCCCATGTGCTCTCTGCCATGATGTGCTGCCTCATCACAGTACCAAAGTGAAGGGCTCAAGCAAGCCTGGACTGAAACCACCAACCAAAATAAACAGTTCCTCCTTTTAAGCTGCTTATCTCAGTTATTTTGTGATAGTGACGGAAAACTGACAAACACACTGAGAAGGAGAAACCACCTAAAATGCCCAAATAGAGCTGGACACAAACAACTACAGCATACGATCTGTGATCGCTATTAAAATGTGGGCGATTTCATTACCTGGGAAAAGAGCAATACATTATGAAAACATGGGTTATAGGGCTATGCATCTGATTTGTAGATATAAAATATGCATAAATTGCTAAGATTGGTGGCACATGCCTATAATCCCAGCAACTCAGAAGGCTGAGGCAGGAGGACCACAAAATCAAGGCCAGCCTCAGCAACTTAGGGAGGCCCTAAGCAACTTAGAAAGACTGTGGCTCAAAATTAAAAATTAAAAGGGCTGGAGGTATAGACCAGTGGTTAAGTGCCCCTGGGTTCAATTTCCAGTACCAAAAAGAAATTAAAGAAAAGAAAAGGCTAGAAATATACACCTTGATATGTATAAACACATACATTTAAATATGTAGGTATTCATCAAGTGTTCTTGGCACTATTAAGATCCAGAGCTAGACCATTCTTGTTCATGGAGGCTGTCCTGAGTTTTGGAGGATGTTTAGCAGCATCCCTGGCCTCTAATCACTAGATCACCCCAGTCATAACAATCAAAAATGTCTCCAGACAAAATCACTCCAATGGAGAACCACTGGCATTTATATGGATGCATAGAAACAACTGAAAGGCTGGATCTATCTGGGTACTAGTGATTTTTTTCAAACATTTTATTAAGTGAATTTTCAGGGTTGGTGTGGTGGCACACACCTGTCATCCCAGCAACTCAGGAGCCTCAGACAGGAGGATCGCAAATTTGAGGCCAGCCTCAGCAACTTAGTGAGATCCTGACTCGAAAAAGCAAAAGGGCTGAGGATGTAGCTCAATAGCATACCAGGGTTCAATCCTCAGTACCAAAAAATAAATAAAGAAGAAGAAAGAAAGAAAGAGAAAGAATTTGCAAACATAAAGATGAAGAAACAGGGCTGGGGTTATGGCTCAGTGGTAGAGCACTTGCTTAGCATGTGTGAGGCACTGGGTTCGATTCTCAGCACCACATAAAAATAAATGAATATGATAAAGGTCCATCAACATCTAATATATATATATATATATACATATATATATATATATATATAGTTATTGTTGTTGTTGTTTTGCTTTGTTTTGTTTTCATGGTAATGAAAGCCAAGACTATTGTATCCTTAATCTTTTACTAAACTTACTCTATCACACATCTGTTCATCTGTACATCTCTTAATTCAGTTACAAGTCCATGTTATTTTTCATTCACTTCAAAGTACATTACTGACATCAATCACTTTCCCTTAATTACTTCAGCATGCATTTCATTAAACTGAGCTCAACACTTGTTTATGGAAACAGATGGAACCCGCCCTGCTGACACCTTGATTTTAGTCCCATGAGAACCATGACAGACCTCTGACCTACACCACTGTTAAGATAATAAATCTGTGTTGTTTTAAACCTCTGAGTTTTGATAATTTGTTATGGCAACTATGGGAATGAATGCAAAGGAATGAGAGTCCAGGGAGGGAACAGAGAGCTGAGTTCCACTCAGAAAACTCCAAGTCCACTTGTGTTCCCAAAAGCCATACCCTAGAGACACAACTGCTCTCTCTAAATTTTAAATATATAAAAACTTTTCCAGAAAGGGCCAAGTGTGGTAGCACACACCTGTAATCCCAGCAACTCAGAAACCTGAGGCAAGAGGATCATAAGTAAGGCCAGCCTCAGCAACTTAGCAAGGCCCTAAGCAATTCAGCAAGACCCTGTCTCGTAATAAAAAAATAAAAGGGGCTGGGAGTGTAGCTCAGTGGTTAAGTGCCCCTAGGTTCAATCCCCAGTACCACCCCGCCCCCTCCTCAATCAATGTTTTTCCAGAAAAAATAATCTGTTCATAAAATCCAGAGTGAATATGTACTGTATAAAAAGGGAGAAAGGAAAGTGAGAAAGTTTTTTCTTTTTTTCATTTTAAGGTGACAATTACCCATAACTAGTACATATCCAAAAGGTACCCTTTATATGCATGTGTCAATTTTCACTTTCAGCAAAAACTTATTGTGTGCCTAGCCATGCCAAATGTTGTACTTCTGGAGCGCTCCACAGCATTCAACAGCAAATGGGCCCTACCCTGCCCTTGGGGTGCACAGTCTAGTAGGAGGGAGACAAAGGGAGCAGCCCCTTCTAACACGGGAAGGCAGAGCTATGGTAGCTCACTGACGGGTGGGGAGCTGGGAGCTTTCTGAAGGAAGTGACCTCCAAATGAAGAAGTCCTTGATGAGATGGCACTGGCAAAAGGGAGGGTGGATGTGCCCAAGCAGAAGGATCGGGCACCCCTGAGTCATGCAGGATGGGTGGTGTGTGCAGGCACACGGTCAGGTGAGGTCACCAGGGAGAGAGTGAAAAGGGCTAAGACAGGGCTCTGAGATACCTAGTCGGTCAGTGTGGATCAAGAAATAAGAGTCCCTTGGTGGGGTGGGAACAAAAGATAGCGTATTCTGGAAGCCCAGAAAACAGGGTACCTTGAGATAGAGGCCGTGGTGAGCAGGGCCAGGAGCTGGTGATGGGAGCCCAGGGAAGAGAAACTGGAGCCCGATTTGAAGCACACAAAGGTCTTGAGGAACCTCAGAAGGCGCCAATTGTACAGCCTGGCTGGAGTGGGAATCAGATGGGTGGTGCCTAGTGCCCTTCTTCCCATGCACCCCGGAGTCTGTCTTCATCCATGCCTCTATTCCTGCAGCTGTCTTTCAAGTCTCGCATCATTTGGACTCACAATCTCCATCTCTTATTTTCCTCAGAATTCTACAGCCTATCTTCTAATTCATGGGTTGATTTTTCTGCAGACCTCTCTTTGTTCACTGCCTCCAATATAACCTATAATTTAGTCATTCTGTTTTGCATCCGAAAGCAATCTGCCCTGCTCTTAAGACGACTCCCTTTTGATTCCAGGTCCTCTTAAATCTACTGAGAATACCAATGAGAGAACTTTAAGTCTTCTCTATGGTTATTAAATCTATTTGGTACTAGAGGAAAAAAAAAAAAAACAGGCAGATCAATGAAACAATATAACATACAGAATTAGACCCAAGACCCAAATTTATCTGAGAACATAGAATGTGAGCAGAATTTCTAAATAATAGGGGAAAAAATAGATTAACTGCAACAAAAAAAAAAGTCACTAGAGAATTAGCTGACTCCGGAAAGAGGGAGATAGGGAAGCTAAAGCCCTATCTTACTCCATCCACCAAAAGAAATCACAGATGAGTAAAAAGTTTAAGCATTAAGCAATAAAATGCAGCTGTCTCCTCCAGCTGCCCAAGATGCTAAAAGGAAAGAAGGCCGAGGGGAAGAAGGTGACCCCGGCCCCTGCCGTCATTAAGATAGAAAAACAAGAAGGTGGCGAACCCTGTTTAAGAAAAGGCCTGAGAACTTCAGCATTGGACAGGACACCCAGCCCCAAAGGGACCCTACCCACTTGGTAAGATGGCCCCACTGCAACCAGATGCAGCAGCAAAGGGCTGTACTCTGTAAGCGGCCAAAAGTGCCTCCTGCAGCTGATGAGTTCACCCAGGCCTTGGCCGGCCAGCTACCCAGCTGCTTCTGCCCCAAGGAGAGACCAGAGACTAAGCAGCAGAAGCTGTTGGCGTGGGTAGCGAGAAAAGCTGCTGGCAAAGGGGATGTCCCCACTAAGAGACCAGCCATCTTTGGAGCAAGGGTCAATGCTGTCACCACCTTAGTGGAGAACAAGGGGGCTCAGCTGGTGGTGGTTGCTCGTGATGTGGATCCCACCCAGCTGCTGTCTTCCTGCCTGCTGTGTGTGACAAGATGAGAGCCCCCTACTGCACCGTCCAGGGGAAGGCCAGACTGGGACATCGGGCTCACAGGAAGACATGCACCACTGTTGCCTTCACACAGATTAACTTGGAAGACAAGGGCGCTCTGGAAAAGCTGGTGAAAGCTCTCAGAACCAACTACAAGGACAGATGGGATGAGATCTGATGTCACAGGAGAGGCAACATCCTGGGTCCAGAATCTGTGGCTCACATTGCCAAGTTGGAAAAGGCAAAGGCTAAAGAACTGGACACTAGCTGGGATAGATGTACACTGGTGTGTTTTCTGTACATAATAATAAAAACCACCCTTCATCCAGAAAAATAAAGTGCTGATGCTGGGCCTGGTAGCACACACCTATAATCCCAGTGATTCAGGAGGCTGAGGCAGGAGGATTCTGAGTTAGAGGCCGGCCTCAGCGACTTAGTGATACCCTTAACCTTTTAGTGAGAGCTTGTCTCAAAATTGA